AATTAAAGGGTATAATTTGTGAATAAACTATCTTGAATTTTAGACCTCAAAAAAGCATTATTAGGTTTATCCAAAAAATAAAAGAATGATAGGAAGAAAGCACCCAAACAAATCAATGGGGGTGCTTATTGATTACCCACTATTTTTATCTCCCGGTTCGTAATGATTCTGTTACCCAATTGAGGTACCTCTACTTATTCCTCATACTCTTCAAGTGGTGATGAACCTTTCAGTGAATGAGGAAACGACCATGCTTGTTGGAGCGTAATGCCTAGATCGCAATATGATAGCTGGCTGAGTTCGTAGAATGTGGACTGGGAACTCTCCCTTGTAAGTAGTTGAGCCTCCCCTAATGTTGTAAGCGGAAGCTCCAAAACCCGATCAGGTTGATTTTCAGCAAATAAAGAGCGAGAAAGATGAAACCAGGAACAAACGACCACCTAAGTAAGAAAACTAAAAAATAACAAAAAGATAACACTAGAATTTATTTGGTTCGTCATATATGTGACTATATCCATAGGCATGGCAAACTGATATCTACCATAACGATGGGAGTTACACCATAGATTTTGGAATAAAAAAAGTATAACAATAACCATCAACAAAACTCAGTCGAACAACCTTTTGAACTACTCTCCTGACCAACATTACATGCCGTTTTTGCTTCGCTCTATGTTGCCAACTATTACAGACAATACCAGATAGAGACGTGAGAGCAAAGAGAAACCAACTTTCTCTCTATAAAAGTGATACCATCCAAAATCTTTATGGGAACTGTTTCTCTACAATAAACAAATCCCTCTCCACACAAGGCACAGACAAATCGCTTCTCTCACTAGAAATTCAGTTCTCTCTAGATGTTCTTCTTTCTCTACATAGAAGGCCACAACCTCTCTCTATAGGAAAGTCCATTTCTGTGATCCAAATAGGGCACACAGTTTCTCTTTCTATAACAACGCACTTATAAAGAAAAACACAAGCCTATAAAGTTGGTGTGGGATATTCCTCCCATCTTTTTCCACCTTTATGGCAAACTTTAACTTTATTTTTTATTTGTCCTCAAGTCTATCTTAAACCATATGGAACTTGTCCAAAAGATAACTTCATGCACAATTAGAATTGTCCAATTAAATAATAAACCTTATAAATATAGAAACTCATCAATATTAATACCAATCACAATAATATAAGATTTCCTTAAGGTGGCTTTTTATATCACCAAATCCAACAATCTCCACGTTAATATCAACAGTCACTTGCTCATCATTCCAACATTCATTGGATAACTTTATGAAATCTTCCATTTTTTTCAAATAAATTCGTTCGCAATTCTTGCTTGAAAAAAATTGCCTGCCATCAAATTTCTCCACCTTGAACTTTGCATTCAAAACCTTTACTGTCATACCGACACCCCAAACTAGGGTCCGATACCACTTGTGTGCAAAAACTAATAAACCCGACGGGTTCATTTTTGGCAAATAAAGAGCGAGAAAAAATAGAACCGACAATAAACAACCAAGCAACAAAAAAAAATAAAGCATGAAAGAAATAACAGAAAGATAACACTAGAATTTACATGGTTCGTCACAGATGTAGCTTCATCCACGGATATGGCGAACTGAATTCCACTATACCTATGATACTTATATCACAAATTTTAGGCTACAAAAGGTTTCATAATAACCATCGATAAAACTCGGTCGAACAACCCTTTAAACCACTCTCCCGACTGACACCACATGTCATTTTTTATTTTCTTTACTTCTAGTAACCATAACCAACAACACCATATATATGCATGAGCAACGAGAAACACTCTCTTTCTACAAAGGGATACCATCCAAAATATTTATGAGAACCACTTCTCTACAAGAAACAAACCTCTTTCTCCACACGAGGCACATGCAAATCGTTTCTCTCACTAGAAGCTCACTTCTCTCTTTAGAAGTTCATTCAGAAGTTCCCCCTCCTCTGCATAGGAGGCCAAACCTCTCTTTAGAGGGAAGTCTAACTTTCCTGTAAGTTGAAGTTGACCCAAATGGGGCACTTTTCTCTTCCTATAATAAATCACATACAAAGAAAAGCACAAGGCCATAAAGTGGTACGTGAGAAGTTTCTCATATCTTTTCCCAACTTTATAGAAAACTTTAGTCCTATTTTTTTTTGATCCTCAAGTATATCCTAAATCATATGGAAGTTACCCAAAAGATTTTCACAAATTATCCAATTAGATAAGAAAACCAATAAATATGGCAACTCATCAACATTAATACCGATCCCAATAATATAAGATTTCATTAAAAAGGTGATTTTGGATATCACCAATCACCTGACCATTGGTAGGCCTCCCAAATCGTTGTGGAAATCGGTCATTAGGTGCTTCAAAGGAAACTTGACCGTTGGAAGGGTAAGTATATTTTCCACTAGCAACAGCATTACCTTGATAATGTCTACCTTTGCAACCATTTAAGTCTATGTTATGTCAATCTTCCTCTTCCAGGAGAGTCTTAAGGGTATGAAGAGGTTCTTGGGGGATCGAACGACAGCAGGAGGCAACACCTTGTCAGATGAGATGTTGTATGCCGAACAAACAGGGAAGGATGCCTCGGGCTAAAAAAATAGAGTGACATTAACTCACAAAGTGGCGGTGGAAATGTAGTCTAGAGCAGTGTTCGCAAAATCAAATAGGAACGGCTAACCAGACGTAGCCCGAAACTGATTTAACCAGCCTAACCAATAACTCGGCCAATTCAACCGTTTTAATCGGACAAGTCCCAGGTGGTCAAAAAAGTCTACTAAAATAAGAAAAGCATAGAAAGAAAAAAATCTACTAAAATAGGAAAAACATATAAAGAATGATTAAAACAAAACACATTCAAATGAAGTTGAAAATCAATGAAAAATAGATTTTAATGAATCGATTTGTGCCTAAGGGTATTTTTAAAATTTTATGAAAAAGATGGGAAAATATAAAAGTGAATATTAATGACCAAAACAATTTTTAATCTTTACCATAATGTAAAGAATATTAAAAAATGCATTACAAACCAAATTCATTATTTTGGGGATTTATATACATTTTTTTGAAATTTTTTTTTAAATACCTGTCGATCACCAAAACCGCTCAAAACCGGAACTGACCACTGACCGGTTCTGATCTAACCGTACGATTAGGGGTTAGATCATCCAGTTTTTCTAACAGTGATCTAGAGCCAGCATACCTAAGGTCATCCTTGCTTTTGAGAATGAAGAACCACTTGCGTGGGGCCATAGCAATGCTGCAAAACTCTCAGGGGGAAAGGAGAGCCATAAACAGATGTTAGCTCCTATTCATTAGCCAAATGTGGACGGTGGTGGAGAAAGGTACAGCTAAAAAGTCTAAAAGAGTTGTTTGACTACACTCTCTGTAATGTGTGCCCTTAACCATTCATGATCGCCGCATTACCCAACTTCTGCAATAGAAGAGGTCGTGCCTGAGCATGGCTAGAACAGGACTTGTAACATAGCGATTCGACAGGGTTTGTTGGGAGACCATGAAGTGATTGTGTTCCGCAACATTCATCATGATTTAGTTCAGTTCAATCACCAACCCATTGGCGACGATTTGCCATTAGGAACCAAATGCCAAAGAAAGTTCTTGGTAAGGTCATGTTATTTTATGGTTGCAGGAAAGGGTGCCTTTACCCGATGGCTCATCGTGCAAACCTACCCAGTCCCCATATCTTCAAGCCCTCTCATGGCTTGTGGTCCTTGACAACATCCAAACCATTATCATCCTAGACATAGATCCATCGCCCTTTGCTCCGAGAGGTTGGTCTAATATTTGGGGTATCTTTGATCTATAATGGGTTACACTTGGTACACTCTCTGACCTCTCAATAACGATTCCCAACATTGCACTATCTTATCTCTCAGTAGTCATTCCCAACACTTCTATAACAAGGCCACACTCAGAGAATGTTTAGCCATGCCAAACTTTGGCATACATGGTTCAAAGTTTCGAACACAACTACAGGACTTTCAGAGTTGCCCAAACTGGGTTTCACACTTTCTTTAGTAAGCTCTTGACTACCATTATCTCCCAGGCAAAATCTACAAATAAGTTTTTGCTTTTTGACATTGTTGATACATACTCAGTTCAAGAGAAATAACCTGTCACACATCCAAACAATAACATGCATGTTCCCCTCCCGCCTGGTGTGCTCAACCCAATTTTGATGGCAGCTCGAGGGGTAACCCGAGACGAGCAAGGTGGTGAAGCTTGTTAGAGACCACATGGGCGACATTCTCCTGTACTTCTCAAGCCTTTGGGCATTATTTGACTCAAACAAGGTTGGGCCCGATCCCTACATAGAGGCCGACAACTTCATCAAGGCTAAAGGAATTACTTCATTATAGAAGGCGATCCATGGAATGTATCGGAGCAAGGAAGGTGGCTATGGGATCTGGCCAAAGTTTAAGACAAGATCTGGTACTTGCTTGGGACATTAGACACCTGGCTAGTACATTCCTATTGAGTAACCCAAACAGAAGTAGATCCACTTGCCAAGGACGGGTGGACAAACCCTCCCTTAATGTTAATAAGTTTATTTTTACAGTGTTCTAGTATACAAGGCATAATTGTACAAGTGATGGATGATACCTACATTTGTAATTAATTAATGAAAAGTCTTTGCTAATCTTCAAAAGAAAAAATCAAATACTTTACTATTTAACTGTACTGCTTTCGTCACTCTTAGCTATGGAAGGTGTACCATGAAAGAATTTGATTTCAAAAGTATGCTTGCAGATCCTCAACTATCCAAATTCAACAGTCTATGGTTTAGGATTGTAACTTGTCAATGTCCATTGAGCAAAGGAACAAAAGTTCCCAGATTGTTGACATGAGCTGGTTGAGGAGCCGCTAGGACGCAGCTTCAAAACCCAAATACTAGCATAATATATGAATGCCTTGGCTGTTCTTCCAAATGAACCAACCTTCACAAACCTGACATTAATAGCTAATAAAAACAATATCTAAAGCAATATCTTCAAGAAAATGAAACTTTTACAAGTGATGATAGAGTAAACAGGAACATCACAGACCATAAGAATAAAAGGATAAAAAAAATCATGAGGCTCTCATGGCTGCTTACAAGGGTCTGGATAAGGTAGAATATTCTCATCATTTTTCATACAATGGCCAAACTATATACTCAAAAGCTAAAACTGCCCCAATCACAAGAATATTATGAAAGGGAAAAACCTTTTAGCATTACTGTGAATCTTGAAATGATTCAATACCATCAACTCGGACACAATGGTAGCTTGTTCATTATACAATCAAGGAGTTGATGCCATCCCTCACAATCATTGCAGTGCAATTTTTCCTCCACTTATCCTGACTTATTATGTTTCCGAAAATGCCTGAGGATGAAGCTATCCGCATAATTGGGGTACTTCTTCCTGATCAAACCCTTTATGCATTTCCAAAATGAGAAATCAACTTCCGTTCCATCTTTTCGCATGAGAAACAAGCAACGCGAGTTTTCGAAGTCCGGGTGATAATCAATCTGTTAAGGAAACGAGCCAGCAGAACAACATTAATCACAAGTAGGAACAAAAGAAAATTTTTAATTAGAAAGGAAGAAAATCAAGTTCAAAGATAAACAGATGCCTCCCCTTTGCCCAAGAGATGGACCAATCACCCATCAAACTAAATGGCCTAAAAACATCTCTCATATTCATGCTCACAGCTAATTTCAAGAGTGCACCTTAGGAATCTGTAGGTATTCTAAAACTCTTATATTTACACTAGACTATTCAACAAGGGAACAAGTTATACATTACAATTTCCTCCTTTCCTCAGAGAATCTGAGGTTTTGTGCATGCCCTTAAATAAAAAATATTCAAATTTCCGAAATTTAGCCCATACAACCAAAATTTAATGATCAAAACTCGAATACCACACCTTTACATTGAAGTTCAAATGTTCAAGCCCTAAAACCTCAACCAACCATGGAACAATTGCAGAAATACTGAACAAGACAGAAGATGTTAAAATGTTGTAGGCCACACAGACCATAAAGAGAGAGCTTAAAGATTCCCCTTATATTTGAGCCGAAATAACAAAACAGGTCAGATAGAATAGCTCAGAACATTTCTAGGAGCATCAGGTCATAAAAGATCCAAGGATCTTCTTGGAATTATAGTCTCCATCTCCAGAAGAGACATTGTAACAGATACCAATGATCGAATGATATAAATGCAGTAGAGGTGACTCAGCAGGGAACTTTAGCAATAAGAAGCCATGTGAGTACAGTTTCAATATAAGTCATCTGTGCTTCTGATACAATTTGTAAAACAGTATCATAGTCATCATGCTCACTCTGTTCTTGCTTGCTTTTTTCTTGCAGCAACCGATATAGCAAACTTGACCCAATGCAGTATCGTGTAGAGGCTAATACAAGACTTGATATTTGAAAGATTCAAGCATAGGCCACATTAAATCCATCATCATTGCCAACGAACTCACATGACAGGTTTGAATGACAATTAGTCAAATGACTTTGATGTATCAAATGAAATGTGGAAGTAAGATTTTTGAAGGGTCAAACCATAGTTGTTGGAAATGCCTGGGAGCCCGAATCGTTTTAGGAACCAGAATCACCGCCAGCTAGAAGATTCCTGTCTTAGGAATCGTTGTCCATACAATAAGAATCGCGGGGAACAAGATTCCTAATTTTTGAAAATCGTGTTTCTACCGAAATAGATCCAAGTTTCATCCACATATAGAATCGAGATTCTGTCCTCCTTGGAATCAAGATTCCCATCCCCCTAAAATCGATACTCCAGGAGTCAAGATTCGTTAATATGCGGAATCGAGTTTCCCACATCTATGGAATCGAGTTTCTGACATATGTGGAACAAAGAGCTTCAAATCGTGATTCTAATATATTTGGAATCAAGTTTCTGAAGTATATGGATTAGAGATCCATGCCAGTTTGAGATCGAGATTTACAATAATATGGACTATGAAATGCGTTTGACGACCCCTACTAGGAATCGAGATTTCATTTTTATAAAGAAAGAAGCCCCAAGCACATCTTGAACCTTATCAACTTTAGAACCTATATTGTATGCCTCTTATTAGAAGGTTTCCCATTTTAAAGTGATTGTGTTGACTATTAAACTTACGGTCATTATATACAAAAGATAAGTATTTCAAAATTGTTAGGTGTTGTATTTACCAGTTATATTTTAAATTTAAAGTAAAAGCCATCTAGGGTGGCACAAGTAAAATAATGACAACCTGCAACCACTAGAAGCATTCGAAGGAAGATTTTTACTCTAATTTCCTTTAGGAAGAGCACAACCATCATAGACATTGGACATCATGTACTTTGAATTGATTTTTTTTTGATACTCTGAATTTATTTATTTTTGAATCAAGATTTAATCCTCGTTGGAATCCAGAATTCCATATTCGATATATTTGGGAACGTCTACCCACAATTAATATGTCCAATAAATGGTTTCTAAAGATGTATTGAATCGCGATTCCGAAATTAAGGAATTGAGTTTCCTTGGTTTCAAAAAATGATTTCTAAAGATGTGTTGAATCGAGATTCTGAGCTTAAGAAATCAAGTTTCCTTGATTCCGGAAAGCGGTTTCTGTAGAGAATCCTTAACGGAAACGTGGAATTGGGTTTCGGAACCAGAATCGCGAGGTCGGTGGAGAGATTCTGGCAACTATGGGTCAAACTATTCCATGTCATGGTACTGACAAACTTTGGCAAGTTCATTAAAATTCTGGCAGCTAATAATGGGGGTTAATGTGTCAAGGGTGCTCGCATCAAATAGGGCCCAAAGTTAAAATTGTTTGTCAAATTACTGCTGCACATCATCTTGAATCAAACTATGTTGGAAACAACAATGGGGGCTTAATGGGCATTGCTAGATCCAAGATGATTATGTCAGTCCCTCTGATTTTGGTTAGAAGTCATTATATTTGCCAAATTGGTCAATCATCTTATCTGTCCTGTCTTGTTTGGGTAGCCACCTTATGAAAGTTAGGATAGAAATTCTGTATATATTTTGTACATGTACCACCAAAGAGGAGAAATAAATAAACCCCAGAATGTGTGCCTTTATTAGATATTCAGCCATATCAGGGAAAAAAACGCAAAGAAAATTGTTGATTACAGTATATACCTCATTCTTTTGGAATAAAATAGGCTCCTGATCAAACAACAATTCAAATCAAAGAATTTGAGAAGAATAAGGATACAGAATTTGATCTAAGAAACACATATACAAATACAGATATGGGTATGGACAAAGAGAGCAGGATACGACTCATAATTTTTCAAAATCTATGGGCATGGGCATAGATATGTTTGGTGTTATCTCATATAGTGCATGAAACTCCTATATTCAACATATTAATATGTACAATATGTGTTTGTGCACCATATTATTATGCACAATTTTATGTATCACTTACAAATATACTTTTTATACATAGATATCTCACCTTTACAAGTATCCAACGAGTATCCAGTATCAGCATTAGTGTTGTATTACGGAAGCACCAGCAAACGTATCCACGCGTTTTAGCAAATGGATCAGAGTGTCACAATGTTAGTAACCATATTGAATTTTTCCATCTTGGGTTGCAGGCAAAGAATTATAAAGGAAGTGAAGGATAGTGCAGTTGTGCGGAACTCATTGAAACTTTTCTAGGAGGACCAGCAGACTATATAATCCAGAAGTACCCAACTTTCCGAATTAAAATGTGCTAGAAAACAAAAACAATGTTAAATTCTGGAAAAAAAATCATTACATAATGAGAAGAGTCATCTTTCGTTCATCTTTGTATGCCTATTTCCACAATAACATCCTTGATCTCAAATGCAGATTTAATGTTTGCTATGTACATGAACTTTATCAATTGATGTTTGCTTTATTCTTTTTGTTTGCTTATGCACATAGCAGTTGGTATCACTATGTAGGTTATGTCCAATGCTTCAATCCCACTGACAAAAGGCCAACCTCTAGTAGGCAGATTGCCCATTTCCTCTCGCATTACTTGGTTTTTGGTATGTGATAGCTGTTCATGTAACGAATTTGATGCAGCGTTCATATAAACTAAGGCATTATGAAGTTCCCTGCCAAACCCCAATTTACCTAATCAAGAGATATAAAGGCCACAGGTACCAAGGCCATCAGATTTGTTCTTCAGAAACAAAATAAAAATAAAAATAAAAGCATATATGTCTGTCAACATAAAACAAGTGTCCAAATAATGAGCTCAAACAGTGACGTATTGGAGTTGTGTCCTTTCAAGGTCTTGACGCCCTTGTACTCAAACCCTTTATAAAATGGATTCTTTTGGCTCCAATGGGGGACATGGTCCTCGAGGAGGGGACAGAGAACGTGACTTAGGCCCTTAAAGCATGGGCGAGTCAAGCTTGCCCATTGTGACTCACCGGCCCTGGGCAATCTAGGATCCGGAAAAATGTTGTCAGGAAAACCTATGACCACAAGCATTAAGGGCAAATGGGCTCGTTTCCAAAAGAGGGTTTTGGGTCATCCCTTGTAGAGGTTAGAGATATGCTTGTGGGATTCCAGGAGGATGGGAGACTCCCATATGGAGTTGGTGGCCAAATGAAGATGAGAGGCGAAAGCCTCGACATTACCACCCTATGGCATCTATGTAAAATAGCCGCAGTTTGCAAATGACAACAGCGTTTTGGGAAGCTACATCCTTGGGTAGAACCCGAGGAGGATGTGCACATGTACTGAAGAGAGATCCCCAGCACTTTTTGGCATTTTCAGGCCTGAAAGGGTGTAATCCTGTCCTCGAGGGAGCACCTATAGTCCATAGTGCCATCGCCGTAATCCTGCTACCTATTAACCGGCTGTGATGGATCAAGCATCAGCTCCAACATATACAACTGTAGTCATGGGTTTCGTTAGGTTGGATTGAGAACATGGTTTGAGGGTTGAAGGGGGCCGAGTAGAGTGCCTCAGTTTCAATTTCTTAACCCGAGGTGCCTATTCTACCTAAGTGATTTTCCTTGAACATAAACCACTTTCTTTTCATAAAGATTATTGAAAAATTATCTTTTGAGACATTTGGGATTTTTAGAGAGTCTTTCTACAAGGAAAACAATCGAATTTGAAAACAGCAGATTAGGACACAGCATGTGAGCCACAAGCAATGGGCCTCACATGGACCCATGAGGGGCCCACATCTGAGGGTCCATACCCCATCCACAACACCGCACCATGTGATGACGTCATTATAACACACCGTGCCCTTTATCCCACGCTATTTACTGTCCTGCATTTCAAATAATGTGAACTACGAAGGGGGGAAGCTAGTAATTGGGTTCAGAAAGGGAAACTTCTGACGAGATCCTTAAACCACATGTAAAGTAAGCTTTTCAATCCTAGGGGCACATGCCACAGAGATTTAAGCACATGGTATGTTAGTTAAGTGAAATTGTGTTTTAAGAAAGTAAGATGAAATTCAAATTAAAGGAAAATTGGGCTTGGAAATATCTAAAGGATAAGGTGTGATATCTATCCTAGATCTGCAATAGCTAGCCAAGGGATGGATGGCTTTGATTGCAAGCTTCTCTTCACCCAATATGATAAATGGTCCATGGTGCTCCAAGTTAAGAAGAACATTCTAGAGTCCAAGTGAACCGTAATTGAACTTTACAAATAGGGTCATGGTTACCCCATTTCTATCACTCTCCAAAGCAAAGCTATGCAACCAAAATTTACCTAGTCTCCCTCCTTAGCGTCCACACCACTCTCAAGCTTCCAAATACTCTCTAATGGCCATGGTGTTGTGATCCATTAAACCTTGGTGCATCCCCATCTCAACCTATGTTGTGCTACTCCCTCTCTCCATTTCCAACATTGAGTTGCTCATTCTAAGCTCTACAATGGCGCTCCTGCAACACCTTTGGACTAAAACCAGCCTCACTTTGCCCAAAAAATCAGTAATCATTAACCTCTCTTGGTCCCCCTTTTCCGGTCATCTTGAAAATCACATTGCATATTGTGTATGCTACATTACCGTCATTGTTGAGAACCACTCCCTCACATTTTTGGAACACCCAAATCGGAGAATTCTAGCCTTGCTTTCTTAAATTGTCTCAGCTACAAGAAAGCTTTGGAGAAAAGATACAAAGGTTCTTCTTGGTGCTTCCTACTGTTCGTAGCAAAGGGGCCTATATCCGAGCACTATAGGTCGATGCGATCCGGCATGGGGCGTATCAAGTCCTATTGACGTAATCTTTGAGCATTGTTTGATTTTTGGCTTTCCATGGTTCCCTAGTTCATTGTTGAGGTTTTGTGTTTTGTGATTGCAAATGTTGTCCATGTATTAAAGCTTCGATTGTATGGAGAACTTGTAATCCATAGACTGGGATTGTATCCCCTCACCAATTCGTTGACTTCAATAGCCCAATCATTAACCCATGCAGTGGTCTGTGGATCATAGGAACTGCTAAGTCAGTTTGAGAAAATGAGAGTGGATTATAGTCCACAGTAGAACATGGAGTGTTTCATCAAATTAATATTCCCTTAACATAATTGGATCCAAATCCCATCAAAATAATTTAGAATTAATTATTTTGATCTTAAATGATGTTTAGATCGTTAGTTTGAATATTTTGGAGTCTTTGGATATTTTATTTTAACAAAATGGATTTATAAATGGAGAGAAACTGAATTTTCAGTATTTTAAATATTCAAAGAGAAAAATAAAATAATAACATTTTTCTAAAAACCATTTTATTTGTTTTAAAATTGATATAACACATGGGGCCCCATTGTATTCCATGGGCCCCACTAAATTTAAGCATGTGAGGAGGTGTGTGGGGCCCACTTGGGGATCCATAAGGAGCATGCCCCATATAAGAGAAAACTTTCCTATTCTAGTGGCGGCTTGTGAAAGAAGTCATGCTCTTTTGATTGAAATTTATGGAAAGCGTTTTGCAGAGATTTTGATTAAAACAAGAAAGGAAAGTTTTCAAATTAAGAGATTTGATTTTCAAGTTAAAGTATACGTTAAAAGATTATGGAACAGAAAAGCAAGTATAATGCATTTTCCATATTAATTTTAGTTGATGGGATTAGATTAAGGAAGCTGAAGAATAAAGTTCTAACACTTTCCTTTTAATCATGATGGCTGGTCCAAGGATTGTATAGCTAAGTTCTCTCACCCCACATGTCTCCTATGATCAATGGTTTGGATCTAATGTCCATAAGGATGGTTAACCCTAAGAAACCCTAACTCTAGAGAAAGTCTATAGGTAGGGGCCAAATCTCTACACTTTCTCTACACCCTTGAGCTCTCTCTTTTCCCCTAAGATTGGTACGCCACTCTCTCTACAGATCTCTCTCTCTCTCTC